CGGCTTGCTTCAGCGTTTGCTGCGGCTGTTGGAGCACGCGATGCCCATCGTCAAAATCGACGGGGGAACTGTCGTGTCATAGGCTTGTCGTGGAATTGGCAGCCAGACTGTGTGCCAACACGTTTGGCTTGTCACACTCGAGTTCGATATTGCCTTAACTTTTGGAGATAACTACAGTTTCAACTTTTTAACTTCCTTGAAAATTAGTTTTTGAAGTTGGCGCAGATTTGAGGCGTTTGGGCACCGACCGAAAGTTGGGCCGAAGCCCGGTATCCACTGCGCGACAACAACAGACAGACAGTAATATGACTTATTCAATTATTTAATACACTACCAATAGATTGCCGATAGAGGAGAATTATAGGAGCTAAGGCTACGACGGTTATGGCCTTAACACCTACAATCTTCCAGACCCTGGCATAATGTCGGCGAAACATTTATCTGGACTTTTACCTTGTATCAGTGCTGCCAGTATGATAAAGAATACATAATCATAAGTGCCTTGCATAGTGCACAGTCGGCCTGCGAATATTTAACAGGTTCTGGAAAATAGTGTTGGCGGTAAAGACAAAGGAGACTGCAATGTCCATTTCTGCCTTATTAGCCTTCGTCAACCCGTCATACCCAGCCCCAAGTGGTGTTCCACCCGAGAGTCGAGCTCGCGACCATTCTGACCGGTGTCTAACACCCTTTCCATTGAACCACGAGCTTGTTGTCTTGTTGAGTTATGTCAGAAGGTACTGACGCTCGTTGATGAACGTTCACTGATTCCTAACGGAACTCCTTTTTCCTGCTTTGTCTTAGGTCTCATTCTTCGGACCCTGAAACCCGCAGTAGTTAGTAGTATAGGCAGATAGTATTGCCCGCAAAGACAAGAGAGACTGGAATGGCCCTTTCTGGCTCATTAGTCAAAGTCGGCCTGTCATAACCATCAGTCATCAACGAGCGTCAAAATTTCCCGACCTAAACCGGCAAGACAATGAACGCATGGCTCAATGGTTATGATATAAGACTCTGATCGAAAGGCTCACGAGTTCGAGCCTCGGGTGGTACAACACCTAGGCCTGGGTATGGCTGGCTGACGACGGCCAATAAGCCAGACGTGGTCATTCCAGTCCCCTTTGTTTCTGCCGACATGACTATCTGCCTAACTGTTACGGCTGTGAGGACCCGAGAAATTAGAGCCAAGGCGGGGCGGTACAAGTGAGTTCTGTTAGCGGTCGGCGACCGTTCCTCAACGATTGTCAGGTTCTGGAAAGCCCAGGAAATAATGCATCGAGGAAGACTAGACAGGATTTCTCGCTGACCAAATTGGATCAGCTTACATAAACGCCGCCCGAAATGGCCCACTTGATGCTGTACAATCCATGGAAAAAAACTCCAGCAACTTGTGACGACACCCTGACGGATGTGCGCGTTCATGTGCGTGCGTGCATGCGTGCGTGCATGCGTGCGTTTGTGATGTTCATGCGTTGATCCGCTTTTGTTTGTGTTTACCTCTGTGTGCACAAACGCACGAGCGCCAACTCACCACCAGTTAGCTGGCAGTTTGCAATGGACAGGAAGTTTATCAAAAGTCCAAACCCTGCGCCCTTTGCCATTGGGTCTAGTAGGGGCGTCAGACCAAATGCGTGCTTCGCCAGTAGGCTTTGAAAGAACGCCTTCTGTCCGTGGACTGACGCCATTCGAAAGGAAGTCTAAAGAAATAATGGGTGGCGTCTCTTGGTACACGTGTGACGACCGCAAGTGTGAACTTTCCGAGCCGACCTGCCTGACTGTCTGAGATCACTTTTTGTGGCAGCTACGGTTTATTAAGACCTCTTTCTGGGTCCTGCCTCTAATAATGGCTGAACTTTCGCCTGCTACGAGTACATTCCCGCCCTACTGGAATAACACCTGTCCACCTTCTGCGATTCCCTGGTGGGTGCCGATGGTAATCTCTGGAGCTACCTACGTCTTCGTTACGATCTACCTGCTTGTTCGATGGGTATACAGACGCTGTCTAAGGTATCGTGCCTCCCAGGATCGTCTAACACTCGAGGGTCTGCCGATCTCCTTATATACCAATATTTTTGGAGGCCTAAATGCATCGCCGACGTTCACTGACGATTATCACCTGGATGAGATAGACGAGGAAAGT